CCGGGGGGTATGAATCAAATTTCGATCACGTGGAATGTAAAATACCCGGGTACCTTGCACTGCGTTTTACGGTACATTTACACGCTATACACGTGACCCAAACGTATATAAAAAAAAGATATTCGTTTCGAATATTACAGTATATATTAGGATTGCTGTCCAGCCAAAACCTAACTTTGTATTAAAAAAAAAAACCGCAACTCAAATTTATTTAATTTGAATTTACTAATTCCCGCGTTATACTACATTTGGATTATCCTTTTTATAACGTATTTTAGCTTTATACTCCTCTTCTTTAAGCCGAAATACTAAAACGTTTATTATATAGAAAGTCCCGAATAATTTTGAATCATATTAATGAAATCTGAATGTTTGGTGTATATGTTAATATAAAATAATAATAATAATGTTAATAATCTAATAATAATAATAATCAATGTTAATAAAGTTAATAAACCAACTAACCAATGAAATGGTGGATTGTTAAGCGAGAGATCATCAATTCCTTGCCCTGGATATGAATACATAAAATTTTCCATGATATGCATTATGCTATCCAAGGGACTAGGTTCTACCGTTGTTGGGTATGGAATGAATTCACAATCAGGACATAGCCATTGGCCCGAAGGCTGTTTAGTAAGACCCACGCATTCCCAGTGGTACCATCCTGTTACACACTAAAATTTGATAACGAACCATTAATATAAGTGAACAACGTTGACATGTTATTTGCTTGTATCAAATCGCATCGAGAAAAAATACATACACTAGGATGGTCACATTGAATCATTTGACCGAATTCTGGCTATTGTTGTAATTCATTTAAGAATAAATAAATTCACAAAACAAAAATCTCAATGTTTTGTTTTAAAAATTACAAGAATATGAAACTTACTCGTTTGCATATACAATATACAAGTTCGTTAGGATCAAAGTCACCGTCGTCACTATTAATTACACTATGAATTAAACACACAAATTGATCACGAGTGAAAGAAAAGGTGAAATTAAAAGATTATTACCCTGTGAATATTTTAAACGATATATATAATATTATTAGACATGTAATTGTAACAGTTGGAAACAAATTTATATAAATACAAACCTTCTAAATGTATATTGTTACGTGCCAATTCTTCATCTAATCTCTCAAAATGTCTAGAGAGCTAATAAAAAAAACATATACAAATTGATCATTACAATGCACGTCTAGATTACTAGTAATAGAAAGATGAGTATTCGACTCACTAAATTATATAATTTATCGGCGACGGCAATTTTTTCATCTTGTTTTTGCATAGCGTCGTCATAGGCTTTCTGCAGTGTTTAACAAACAAAGCAAAAATAATTTGAATATTAATTACTAAGCCACTATATCACAGCATAACACAACTGTGCCACCGCATGCCACGTGCTAGGTTCACATTATTTTTAGTCAAATATTTCGTCGAGGGACTTAAGTTTGCTTTCTTCTTTCTCGGTGATGATTATATTACCCTTTTTAATTATATAAACTCTATTAAATTTGCCACATACCTCTGCCATACTTCTCCAATAGCTAGGACCTCTGTCGTTTTCATCTATGTGATCGGAATCCACACAGGCGAAGTATTTGTCTTGACATTCGTTGCAAATCGCACGTAACTCTGGTAAATATTGTAAATGTGTGGGTAATATACTGGCTTTAGGTTTATTTATAACGGTAATAGCTCGAAAAAAATATTTGATATAATGTTGTATACATAACGCGAAAACCAATGTATCTATATATGTAAAAAGAGATGCTCACTTTCACACTGTTCGTCTAAAAGTCGTAACTCGTTCAGATTATGAACAACTTCTGCCTTCAGGTTGTAAATGGCTTTATTGAAAAATAAAAAATATGTAAATTATTTAAAGGTGAATATAAATACCAGTACAGTTTTGATCAGTGTTGAAGAAGAGCAAAAAAAAATAAAATAAAT